TGGAGATGTGTAAAGACTAGGATCTTGGGTGAGCACTTGGAATATCTCGTGGGCTGTCATCTCGGTGCTTATTACTCTTGGAGATGATCTCCTAGACGGTTAGGTGTCATCCACGAGAATCCGTTGCATATTGTGGATGTCCCGGGTAAGTTTGTGAAGGATCTCCTCTCCTTCAAAAGGGAACGAGGTAAATTAATGAAGTTCTTGTGCTGAGATTTTAGAGGCTTTCCAAGTAGAGCAACCTACACTTGTGGCGGATTTCTAGAAGTAGGTTGAATTGGATCTTGGTGGTCACTTAATTCTAGAAATTTGCTTAGGAGTGTTTGGGGTTAAAGGCTGTGGATTTCCTCTGGGGTTTTTGCACAAGTGAGGCAAGGGGTTAATCGAGACCCAGCTCTTTGGAGCTCCTCAACGGAGAGTAGGATCACAAGATCCGAACTTCAGGAAAAAATCGCTCTTGTCTCTTTATGTGATGTTTCTGTGATCTGTCCTCTGCTTAGAATACCTGTGCATCATCTTGTGAAGATTGGCTTAGTCTCCTGTTTCGAAATCTGAATTTTATTCTTGTTCTGTTACCCGGAAGTTCCTACACTAGAACACCGGAAGTCCCGGGCCTGGCAGACTGGAAGTTCCGGTGTTCCATACCAGGAAGTTCCGGGTCTGTTTGAATTTTACCGCTGCGATTTGTTTTTAAGTTTTCAGGGACAGCCTATTCACCCCCCCCTTTTGGGCTTCATCAGCATGTTCACACTTCAACCTCTTTGACTCTATTATTTTCTTCCTTCTTGCCTCTCCCAAGCTTAGGACAATCTGAACGAAGATGATCAAGTGCACCACACTCAAAGCAACGATTATGACCTCCTCTTTTCCTATTCCTGACATTATTCAAAGCTCGAGAAAACCTGTTAGCAGCCAAAACCAAGTCATCCTCCTCGAACTGTTCGAGTTGCTCATCGGACATGGCATTAATCAAAGCAAAAGCAGTAGAATTCGATGATGAAGAACATCCAAAGAAGTCGAGGAAGAAACCAAAGCACTAGACTTAAGATCAACTTTACGAGAAAGAATATTCATCTTATGTGTTTTTAGTTTTGTGTAAAGCGAATCCAAAGTCAAAGTAGACATGTCAACAGACTCCTGAATAGATGTAACTTTCATCTCCCAAATAGACATGTCAAGACTATTCAAAAAGTGACGAGAAATCTCAAATTGTGTATAATTAACATCATAAGAAGAATCAACAGATCTAAGATCACTCAAAATTTTGTTAAACCTAGAAAGATAGTCATCCAAAGCTTCTCTAGGTTTCATCTCAAATTTTATGTACTCCTTTTTTGAAAAGATCTCGACGAAGTTCTTTAATATTATTTGTTCCTTGATGAAAATTATTCAAAGCAACCCAAATCTCATTGGCAGTTTGAAGATAAGAAACACGATCATAATCCGAACGAGAAATCCCACTCAAAAGAATATTGCGAGCTTTGCAATTTTCTTCAAACTCATATTTTAAAGCAGCAGTATTAATTTCTTCGGGGATCACATAAGGATGAGAAACTTTTCTCCAAATATCACAATCCTCAGCCATAATGTAAGACTGCATCCTACTGCACCAATGAGAAAATTCCGTTCCATCAAAAACATGAGGCTTAGTTGAAAACCTATTAGCAGCCATGGCAAAAACTTTAGATCGGTTAAAATCCAAAGAAGAAAACATGGCTCTGATACCACTTGTAGGATCGAAACACAAGAACTAAGCCAACCAGAGGGGGGGTGAATGGTTGGTATGCCCAAAAACCAAAACTTTTAGCGGAAATAAAAGTTACCCTCAAATTCGACGGATCGCGGTCTGACCGAAGTGTAAGAGCCGGTCTGACCGCCTGATGAACGTCGGTCTGACCGATGTAGATCGATCGGTCGAACCGTTGAGATGCCTGCTGTCGCTTGCCTGCTGCCGCCGGTCTGACTGCCGTGTACCCGCCGGTCTGATCGTCGCTTGCCGCCGGTCTGACCGCCGGTATCCTGCCGGTCGGACCGCCGAACCCGATAAAACACAAATCGAAGAACTCTCGAAGTAAATGACAACTTTATTGCTTCTCTCTGTGTTTACAAAGTGCAACAACAGCAATCTTTACAAAAATCTCGACTAAACTCGAAACCCTAACTAAACTAGCAACTCAATTGCTCTCTCAAGCGATACACAAAGAGATACCAGGAAGCCTCACGCTCCCCCTCTATTTATACATGAGGTAGGCAGCCTAAAGCCACGAACCAAACTCATACTAGAAATCCTAATCCCAATAGGAAACCTCCTAGTACAAGAAACAAACTCTACATAACCAATCATACCAAATTCGACTCCGCATCCCATACGCACACAATACCTCCATCGTATGCCATATGGAATCTTCACCAACCATGTGCATCAACTCTAGCCTAAGTATCCCGTATGATATCTGACCACCACGGACATCGTCTTACCACCAAGCCGACTCCCGATCCATCACCGCAAATACTATCCCGAGGCATCGAGTCACCTACACATGAATCAAACAAAGAAACCATATTCCGAGACCAAGCTATCACCAACTTGACTCATTGTTAGCAAACAATAGTAATACATATGTATAGTATCCATCTAGAAGTCATAAACATGAAACAAACTCAGATATCCAAAGAAACAACCCGAAACCGAAACCGACACAACGTTGGCCGTCGCATAGCACCGGTCTGATCAGCCACACTAGCCCGGTCTGACCGGACCCCGTAAAATCCAATCATCTCAAAATCCACTTCGTAGATTAACTCCAAATATCAAAACCAATAATCACTGATGTCAATTGTTCATCACAAAAATAGGAATCAAAACACACTTTGATCTTACTGGGGAAATCGCCACCACCGCCGCTGCCGATCTGAGCTCAACTCCTCGCCACCCTCGAAGCTCCTCAAAACTTCTAGAAGATCCTTCGTAGTCCCTCCAAGCTATTTCTGTTGTCCCTTCAAGTTCGATTCCCCCACAATCGATCTAAAGATCGGGTCGTCGTAGCCATTGCTGCTTCTCAACTATCTCAGGCTCCTCCAGGAAAGTCCAATCCGTGGTAATCCTCCTTTAATCCTCTCCTTCTGCGCCTGACCTATTTCTTCCGGTCATTGTTGTTTTCAGTCATGTAGTGTTGCCGACACACCAGATTCCCTACGTCTCCTCCGCTCAGCCTGCTGCTGACCTTCCGTTTAGTTAAACCAAATGTTATGTAGTAGTTACATTTTTTAGAGGACACCTGGTTGAGATTCAGGCATCCGAAGCTCGAGGGCTACATTGTGCTGGTTTCCAAGAGGACTGAACTCTAAAGATCAAGAAATTCATGTATGGACTGCACCTAAATTTATGAGTTATGATGCAAAATAGTTGTATCTGTTGTTTTTCATTATTACATATAAAATTTAGCTCAAATTGGAATGAACAATCAATTCTGTGACAGATTATTTTGTTGCCCAATTTAAATTGGACTACCAATGAAAGTTCTGCAAATGCAAGATGCAAAATATAGAACATCCAATGGTGTGTTAGGAGGACCATTTCCATGTATTTACTTCTATCTGCACATTGACTCTAGCTGTGTGTGCTGCTACTATCCATGTATTTACTTCTATCTCTTGAATTATTGTTTCCTTAAATCCATCTAGGTTAGACCAGACATCAGTGCATGAGAATAAGTGTTAAGAACCAGTTCGATTTGGGTGAGTGCATAGCCTTAACATCATGTCCATGTCCTGTCGAATATATTTTTTGTGAGTCAAAACGTGAGGGAAAGGCCGCTATATTAGACAAACAAATAAGAGGTGAGCTAACAACCAATGTGTCATAAATTTGTTAGCCTTTGTTATATATTTCGTAGTGTTATTTTTCTTTCTGTACCATGAAGTCCTTCCGCCACGAATGCCCCCTATATCAGACTGAGTACCCAATCCCTGCTCAATTCATAGAGAGCCGTAAAGGTTAAGAAATTAAGCATCCCACTCTGATTCTCCCTTTTTTTCCCCTGTGGTTTTGCTCTGCCTGACCCTGATTGCTTGATCTGTTTCCTGCAGTTGACGCTAAGAAGGAAAAATCAGATCGTGAAGAAGGAAAAGTCAGAAGAGCCATAAACTCTCTGATAGACTGAGGGGCCTGTGCTATTGCGTCCCATGTATCCAAGAAGAGAGGCCAAAGTCCTAGAACCCAAGTGAGATGAATACACAAATGCACAACACAATATTGTAATAGTGAGATGAATACACAAGTGCACAGCACATATTGTAATAGCTTACGAGTAGTCGCATGAGCAGAAGAATCCAGGACGATGGGCACGGCTTGCTTTTAAGTGCCCCGTTCGAATCTAATGAAAGATGAAGATTAATTGCACACGCAAAAGACAAGTCCTTAACATGATTAGTTGAGTTTTAATTATTAAAAACTTGTAAAATTAACTTATTTGATTTTTATAGCAACTTCTATGTAGAAAGTTTTCGTATGGAACAAACCGTTTAGCAGTTTAAAAAGCGAGAAACGCTTGGAGGTTTTCCGGCTAGCTCCACAAGGTGATAGACTAGACGACCTGGATTCGAAACCTCACCCCTTCTAATTATTTGATATTAGGTCCTTCCCTAATATTCGCGTCTTTTTTAGACGTTTAAAAAGCGTGCTAATGGAAACCAAAAAAAAAATATCTCGCAGATGGCACCAGGATGATAAAGAATGCTTTCTGGTTGAACATGGGAGTCAAACATAGAGCATGCAGCAGACACAACATTACCACCTCCGTCCAAAAAAATATTAAATATTTAAGGGATTTTAGCAACCCAGATGGAGGCAAAAAACAATACTCCCTCCGGCTTAAAATATAAGAGATTTTGACCGGATGAGACATATCCTAGTAATGGATCTCTTATATTATATTTTGGGACAAAGGGAGTAATAATAAGATGACCACAAATGGTAGGACTATTGAAGATAACAAGTGTACCATTGCAATAGATTGATACCATACATACATAGTACAAAAAGGATTACAGGGGGAGATCTACGTTCATGACAAAGCCCTCAAAACTATGAGAACATACATGAGTCACCACATAAATGATGACCTAAGATAACTCAGAATGACCTAAATTAAGATAACTCAGAATGTGACATTGCGGGAAACAGTATCACCATGCTATGCAAAGCGCATAACACAGGGAGTTAAATTTATATCATCATACTAAGCGAAGCAAATAACACAGGGAGAGTTAAATTTCATGACAGTACTCAAAGAACAATTTGTCTCTTACATACCAAAGTGCCAAAATTATTCAGACGATAATGATGGGTAAGATAATACACCAAAGTAAGTTATTATTCAGAACAATACCTTAATGTTACCATCGGTGCCATAAGACATGTGGCATTTTGAGTTGTGCTTGATCATTCGGAGTTCCACTTTCCCGTTGCTGCCATAAGGGTTATTGCAACTGTCATTGCAAGAGGCATTGCCAGTCCCATTGCCGTCATGGACAACACATTGCACCACATCTGTACCGGTCAACACAGTAAAAAAAAGCTCACCTAAATCAGAACCAAATAAGCCCGCCGTGGGTGTCCAACTGTGGTAGAACCTTGCGACACAGAATCTGCCAGACCCCAGGTTGACAAGATGAGGATGCTGCATCTCTGTCCACTCTTGGGGTGCCTCCAGCTCCTTCCAAGATCCTACTAGCTGTGGCTGAGAGTCCATGGTGGAGAGAATGGTGGAGAGGTCAGCGGCACCAAATTGCTTCCAGTCATTGGCACAAATGCCAAACCACAGCTTCAGCTCCGGTACATACTCAACCTTGCCGATGAAGGGTAGTGTCCACTCCCCAATTTGGATCCAAGTGTGTTTCACCGTGTCCAAGCAGTAGGTGCCAGCACCATCCACCGATATGCAGATGTGGGAGCCGCCGTCGACCACTGCGTATGAAGTGATCTTGTGGGGGCTGGCATGCTTGTACTTGGGGTCACAGACGAATGGCGGTGGCGGGAGGCGCTGGCACTGCCAGGACTTGGTGAAGGAGGTCAAGGTGGACCTACGGTAGACAAAAGCCTCAAACTGACTGCTCAGCTGTATGTTGTCTCTTGGTATGTGATTAAGACAAGTATCCATGATGTAGACGCTGCCACCTCCATTACTATTGTCGTCGTGGTCGTCCTTGTCATCGGCACTGGGGATGAAGATGGAGTAGGGCAAACACTTGGGCTTGTGGAGAGAGGGCAAGGTATCCACTTTGCACGTATCGGCATCGAAGAGGCAGGCGCGGCCAGATTGGTCTGTGCAGAGCACCTTGCGACCTGCAAGCGGAATACAGTTGATATACCAACTCAAGTACTCAGCTGAAGATCGAAAGTTCATGATTGGTGTAGGAAGCTGAATCGTTCCTATCTTTAACGTTGCTGCCGCTTCCTTCTCGTTATTGTCGGCACCCGCCCATGGGGTGGAGTCTTGTGGGCGTTCTGATTCAGATATTTTCCCATTCAGTATCAGTGCAGCAGGTGTTGTAGTGTTGAACAACTTGTAGCGCGCGAGGGTGAGGTCGATGCAGCGCAGCGATTTGGCTCCAGGGATGCGGTTGTCCACGATCAGGTTCAGAAACCGACGAGAGAGGCCCATCGTCGATTGGATTGGGATTGGATATAATGGTCAGCTTCAAAACAGAAACAACAATTAATCTCGTCGGTCTCCGTCCCCCCCCAAAAAAAAAAAAAAAAGCTATGCTATGCACCTGGAGAAGTAAACGACATTCAAGGAAGGAAGAGTACCGCAATAGCAGCAGAAGCCGGCGATTCTACTCGATCCCAAGTCGACTGAACTCTCCTCCTTTGTCTTTCCTTGCGATCGATTCAGCTAACAGCCGCCCGGCAGCGATGCCTTTAAAGACGGAAGGAAGGGATGGCTTCACAAAAGCCAAACAAACAAGAGAAGAATAACAAACAAAGGCGATGAGAAATAGGATAATAAATTAGCTTTTGATCAATGAAAAGAGGGTTAAGATCAAGCGGATCTGCAGGGTACTGACCTGAGGCGAGCTGGAGAATGGAGGGGGCAGGGTGGAGCTCAGCTCCCAAGCCCTAGCACCGGAGCAGAACGGCGGCGGCGTCGCGGGATTGAGGGACAGATGGTTTCTAGGTCTGGACGGACGATATTTCAGAGGAGCTCTCGCGAAAGGGGCTCTGTTTACTGAGGATCAATGGGCCGCTTTTCACAAACCTTGACAAAAAGGGTCACAATGGGCCGCTATTTGGGCTGTCTCTGTAAAGGGGCTGTATATGTATAAACAATCGTAAAAAGTTCATTTTGACTCCCTCAACGATCGCCTGAGTATAAATCATGTCCTCCAACCACAAAACCGGGTATATCGACCCCTCCAACTATCAAAACCGATGGAAACTATGTCTCTGGGTGGTTTAGGAAGCGATTTTGGCTCACGTGGCGCCTACGTGGCGTTGTTGACTTGGTCTCTATCCCACGTGACATCGACGTGGCGCTTTTGTGGCATTATAATAAAACAAAAGGCAAAAAAGTACGTGGGACCCATCTGTCATTCACAGAAAATATTGTGGGGGTCATTGGCATGTGGGTCATACATGTCCTCATCTTCCTCCTCTCATCCCTTCTCTCTCCTTACCGTCGCGTGTCACCCCGCACCGGGATGACGCTCCTCATTGTCACCTTCGAATGGCCACGACGGGGTCAACATCGTCGGCGCCGAGCTGTCTCTGCTGTCGGCGGAGTCACCCAACGACAGCTTGAGGACAAGAGAGAAGGAAACGGTGAGGCCGGAGCCAAGTACGAAGGCGAGGAAAAAGTGGCAGGGAGAGGCAGTTGGGCCCGCAGGAGACATGGAGGGAGGGGAGTGTCGGTGCGGCGGTGGCGAGCGAAGGATGGAGGTCAGTGGGGTTGCCAATGGTGAGGGACGGAGGTCCTGTTGTATCGTCTACTTGAAATCTCCTGCACATCCTCTATCGCCGCTCAGGCCCTCGCTCACCCTCCACGGTATAAAAGGGACCCCTGGGGAGGGGTGAAAGGCATCCAATTCAATCGCCAACACACCCACCATATATTACGAAGCCGAAGTACGTGGAGCCAACTCGTCGGGAGATCTCGTCAAATCCCTCGACTACGATCTCACCGGTATCATCTGATTCGACTACTCTCTTTGTAACCTATTCTCATCATCATAAATCCCATATAACCTGGACTAGGGCTATTACCTGATAAGGGGGCCTGAACTAGTATAATCCTTATCTTTTGTTTGCTTGATGTCGTACTACGTAGACCCTCGTTCCAACATACCCCAATACTCAACTCATCCGGTCCACAAGTATCGCTTGTCGACAGTGGCACGCCAGGTAGGAGGACTTGGTGCTCAAGGATCTACCAGTATGACTTCAAGACTTCCTGACAGCAGTATCAACACCGGCGTCGATCAAGGAGCCTCTACCTCGACATCGCTGGTGTGGACTCAAGTCAGATCCATTTTCTTTCCGGTCTACACCATCACGCCGATCTCGACTGGCCCAATAATTATCGGGAACGAGAAAGGCACGGTTACGACTCCGAGAAACGACGCACCGCCGATAATTCCTCCCACTCAAGTGGAGAATGGAACATCGACGGCCCCAATACCCAGGAGGAATCCTCAAGCGGCCGAATTTTGTCCTCTAAACAAAAAATCAGAGCCGACAAGAACGACCACCCTAAAACCGAGATCTTGGTGTCCTGTGCATAGGACATCCAAGCACACTCTCGAGGACTGCCCGGTGATACTCCACGTGAAAGCTGAACTCTATGCCTGCTGGGAATGTGGGATTCAGCGTGCTTCACCGACAAGAGCCACCTACTGTCCAATTCAAAAATCTAGATCTCACGATCTCACAAGCTGCAGGATTTTATGCTCATAATTTGATGCAGAGTGAGATGCTGAGCGTTTGTTCGTGTGCTTGCTCGTCAACAATCCCTTTTGTCCCTTTTGTTTTAGTTCTAGCACACTTCAGTTACAACATTTTGTCCTGAATCAGAGTGGGTGGAGGACAAAATGAAAGACAAACTTGTTGATGGCGCCGGCGTCGATGTTGTAATGCTTCTTGTCGTCACCGAGCATGCACACGCGCATCCATGGCGTGAAGGTGTTCACAATCAACGACGTACGGATGGTGGAGTCGGAGAGGTCCTGGAACGCGTCGGCGAAGCTACGGAAGTGTTGACGAAAAAATCGAACACACCGGTCTAGGAGATCTGCTTAGCTCCTGTGCAGGTCCAAAACTTAATGAGATGCGGGTGTGCCAGTCAGTTTGACCTTGCAACTGACAAGATATGTAAACAGTAGATCAAACAACTGATCGGCTAAACAGCCGATGGAGCAATCCCAGCCGATAGCCGATAATAGCCGATGTACCAACCGATAGCGATAGGGTTTAAGCAATCGGCTATATGTCTAATGTAGATAATGATATAAAGGCAATCGGCTGTCAATAATATAATATAACAATAACGTAATCCAATAGAAAACAATCGGCTAGCAATGATATGATAGAATAAGCACTGATCCGAAGTTTAAAATATACATCGGCTGGAGGTCCGATGCCATAAAATCCACAGATTAGATTAAACAGTGAAACCTTTGTTGTCATCGGCTAAATCCAACTAATATGTATATGTAATCCTTCTAAGCCGATGCAACGTCCAGATAACTTATCGGCTAACACTCCGATAAAACATTAGCATGAACCTATCAGCTTAGCAAGACTTATATTATCAACAACAATCTAGTAGGTCGAACCTAACCGATGCAGCACGAGATTGTATATGATAATCTAATACTCGATAAGCCGATAGATCTGTCTAATGTGATGGATATAACAAATCTATTTAGAACAGCATTGCGATTGTAGAGATATATCGGCTAAGATAGAAGATCAGACCTAACCGAGACAGTTCCAACTAAACCGATGCGTCTCTAAACACAATGCAATTAGAGATAGAATTGAGATATCAGGTAGGCAAATCAATCAACCAAACCAGAGTGATCCAAGAGATCGAAGCGATGTAGCCTTGAGCGACGCCGACGTAGATGACAGATTCACCAGGGTCCGACGGAACGTAGGACTTACCCCTTCGCCGGAGATCGAAAGCCGATGCAGCCCCGCGTCAGGTGCCCAAATTCCGCCGGAAGATAAGTAAAACCTCGGTAAATAGGGTAGCGATGCGCCGAGAGTAGTTGTATTGATCGAGAGATTGATTGCATAGACCCTGGGTGTACATATTTATACCCATGGGTTGATACAAGTCCTTGTCGGACAAGAAAGAAACTTTCCTAAAGATAAAAGGAAAACATAAAGTACTTATCGGACACTAAACACACTTTCCTAAAGATAAAAGGAAACTAACAAACTATTCCTAATTAATAGATAAACTGCCACGCCGCATCCTTCTTGAAATCGGACTCTTCTAGATAAGCTTCCTTCAATTGATTCGACTCCACTAAGAACATGATAGCATGGCGACTTGACAACTCCCATCGGCTGCTTCTAGAACTCGGAAGCCGATAGTGACTTTCAGCTGATGATGACTTTGGACTTACCAAATTTCATCGTTAACAGGAAGAAGGCGTCGTAGCAGTCGAGCGGCGCCTTGCCGTGGATAACGGGGAGCTCGTCGACGGCGAAGAAGTGGCAGTCACGGCCGCTGGAGCAGTCGGTGAAGAGGATGTCGGGGTCGCCAGAGTGGAGCGTGACGCGGAGGCTGAGCCCCTCGTCGCGGGCCATGTCGACGACGGCTCTATACCCCGCCCAATTGAACCTATCCAGCGACTCCAGCTGCGCTCAAGTCGTCCCTCCTGCCGCCGCCGTTGCAGCCGCCGCGATGCGTCTGCCTGAACCCGACCCTTGTCGGCACAATCCCGGCATTCTCCCGGCGGACACCGCCGCACCTCGCTGCGTGCGTTACCAACACCGAGTTCATGGCACACCTCGCCGGATTGCTCGTCGGAGACACGAGAGAGGAAAGGAAAGTGAAGGAGAAAGGTAGAGAAGAGGGGAAAGAGAGAAGGTGCTGAGTTGGACACCCTGACATGTGGAGCCCACATAGGTCCCACGCTGACTCAGCTGTCCCATCGGACAAAACCGGGGTTAAAACCACGGAAGGACCTAAAGTGAACAGTTTTGTAAGTTGAGGGATGTCATATATCTGGTTTTGCAATTGGAGGACGATTTTGTAAGTCGATGACAAGTTGAGGGACCTTCGGTGTACTTTTTCCTATTATAGATAGCCATAGACCCGAGGCTCGATGGCCCGGCCCAAGGCACGGCATTTTGGCCTAGCCCAAGCACGGCACGGCCTTACCGCCGAGCCGTGCCTGGGCTTCCCCACCGACACACTGGGCCGGCCCAGCACGACTAGGCCCTGTACGAGAGTGTGGGGATGCATAACAGACTTAATTTCAACCATATGTAGGGCACGAGGGAGCAAAAATAGACGTATTATATAACAAGGCCCAAAGAATAGGGACATAAAATAGACTTATTTTAGCTACATATATGTCACAGCCCAAAGAGGAGAGAGGAGAAATAGACTTATTTCAAAGAAGGCACGATGGACCACCCGTGCCTTCAGGCTAGCACTGCATGGCCCGATTGCTAGTAGGCCATGCCTAGGCCGGAGGTGCAGCCCATGGGCCAGCACGGCCCAACACGAAGTGCCGACTGAGCCGTTCCAGCCCGATCGCTGGTGGGCCGTGCCTAGCCCGATCCTAGGCCGGGCCGTGCCGGGCGAGCCTTATGGCCATCTATAGATTATATATGTGACGACTATCTGTTGCAACTAATATATACTCTGAAAATATACAGAGATAATAATGCTACTGGATACCTTGCTCACAAACGCATGAGGAGATTTCAGTGCAGCAGATAACTTGTCAGACTTTACCCACTGATTTGATTTCAGTATATCTTGCACTTGCAGTGGTTCAATTCCATTTTTCCCATCAGACTATTGACTGCAGCACAAGTAGCAGCACAGGTGATTATAAATCACAAAGCAATCCTCCATTCCTTTCAACTGCTGAATAATCAAAATTTCACATAAACATGTACCAGAGTTAACTACAAAATGAACAGTGACGTACTGGCATCTTTAGAATTAAGAAACCAATTTTCTTTAGAAAATCAAAGTCTATGAAAGAAGATGAAAACTGAGGTCACGATAATTTCCAAATATATTTTTTAAGATCAAGATAGAATATGAAAAAGTTGAAATTAACCGTAGTATAACTTAGACTTTTTTCAGAAAAGGAATATACACCGCATCACGTATCATCCTCTCTTCCTCTGGAAAAGTCCCGCACGGTTAACTTATTTTGGGACAGAGGAAGCACACAAGATTACCATTCCTTCTTGGTTTCCGCTCCAACCAAAACCAAGAAAGCATTTGAAACGAATTTTACCATTGCAGTAGACAACACATAAATTAAGAGTAAGTTTATAGTAGTTACTAGTAGTAGTAAATGGTACAGTTACTTAAGTGCAGGAGACAATTACAACATGCGGACAACGAAGGTACTACCTCTGTTTCATAACCTCTGTTTCATAATGTAAGACTTTCTAGCATTACCTGTATTCATATAGATGTCAATAAATCTAAACATATATGTGTGCTTAGATTCATTAGCATATATATAAATGTGGACAATGCTAGAAAGTCTTACATTATGAAACGGAGGAAGTATCATTTTTATTATGCTAAAGTAAAATTAGGACGAGACACAAGTTCTCTTAAAGAGAGAGACAGAAAATTATTCAAAGGATGGGGAGTCAGCCCTTAAATTAATCAGAAAACTGCCGTGATGGTCTCCTCACCGCAGCTAGACTTGTGACATCTCGATTTGTGCTTGATCAATCCAATATTCTCATGGTCAACATTGGCATGGGTAAACTCTACACCAGTCAGGACAGAAACATTCTGGCCACTCAATCCATCGCCAAAGTCACCAGTGTGAAAGAACCTTGCAATGCAGAACTTGGCAGACCCCAGGTTGACAAGCTGAGGGTCCCGTATCTGCTTCCATCCTTGGATGAGTGACTCATCAAGTTCGTTCCAGCAGTGGCGTATCTGTGGTTGCAGGTACTCGTCCATGGCAGAGAGGTCAGCAACAGCAAAGTGGCCATCGTTGGGAGTGAAGCCAAACCAGAGCTTGAGCTCGTGGACATACTCAAACTTGCCTTGGAAGGGTAGCATCCACTTGCCCACTTCAATCCAAGTGTGTTTCACAGTGTCAAAGCAATAAGTACCAACCCCGTCGATGGATATGCAGATCTCAGAGCCACCTTTAACCAAACCATATGAGATGATCTTTAGAAAGTCAACGCCACATTTGACGACGTATGGCGGCGGTGGTGGGAGGAGTTGGCAGTCCCAGGACTTTGATAAGTAGCTGGAACAGAACATGCGGTACACCAAAGCCTCGAACAAATAGTCAGCCTCCTGTGGTTTCGCAATTCTATCCATGATAAAAAGAGTACCGCCACCGCCGCCATCAAGGTCATCCAGATCTATCTCAGCGCCGGGGATGTAGAGGGCAATGGGTTCCAACTTGGGCTTGTGGAGATTTGGCATCACCACCAGACGGGATGTGTCTGCCTCCAGAAGGAGGCCACGCCCCGACTGGTCCAAAGAGAAAGCCCTGCGCTCCAAAGCAGGGAACATGTGTATCCGTTCGCCTGGTGCTCCCAAGTTGAAGATTGGGCTGGGAAGACAAATCTTCTCCATCCTTTTCTTCAATCCGTTTCCGTTCCCATTCAGTGTCAGTGCAGCAGGTGTTGTAGTGTTGAACAACTTGTAGCGCGCGAGGGTGAGGTCGATGCAGCGCAGCGATTTGGCTCCAGGGATGCGGTTGTCCACGATCAGGTTCAGAAACCGACGAGAGAGGCCCATCGTCGATTGGATTGGGATTGGATATAATGGTCAGCTTCAAAACAGAAACAACAATTAATCTCGTCGGTCTCCGTCCCCCCCCAAAAAAAAAAAAAAAAGCTATGCTATGCACCTGGAGAAGTAAACGACATTCAAGGAAGGAAGAGTACCGCAATAGCAGCAGAAGCCGGCGATTCTACTCGATCCCAAGTCGACTGAACTCTCCTCCTTTGTCTTTCCTTGCGATCGATTCAGCTAACAGCCGCCCGGCAGCGATGCCTTTAAAGACGGAAGGAAGGGATGGCTTCACAAAAGCCAAACAAACAAGAGAAGAATAACAAACAAAGGCGATGAGAAATAGGATAATAAATTAGCTTTTGATCAATGAAAAGAGGGTTAAGATCAAGCGGATCTGCAGGGTACTGACCTGAGGCGAGCTGGAGAATGGAGGGGGCAGGGTGGAGCTCAGCTCCCAAGCCCTAGCACCGGAGCAGAACGGCGGCGGCGTCGCGGGATTGAGGGACAGATGGTTTCTAGGTCTGGACGGACCGGCTGTGTTCGTTTCGACGTTTTCCCAGCGCGCTACAGTAACACGGAAAACGGAATAGTTAATTAACACGTGATTAATTAAATATTAGCTAATTTTTTTAAAAAAATGGATTAATTTAATTTTTTTAAGCAACTTTTGTATAGAAACTTTTTGTAAAAAAGTACACCGTGTAGTAGTTTAAAAAGCGTGCTCGGGGCAAAACACTGTAGCGCGCTGGGAAAGTGCTGTGCCGAACACAGCCGATATTTCAGAGGAGCTCTCGCGAAAGGGGCTCTGTTTACTGAGGATCAATGGGCCGCTTTTCACAAACCTTGACAAAAAGGGTCACAATGGGCCGCTATTTGGGCTGTCTCTGTAAAGGGGCTGTATATGTATAAACAATCGTAAAAAGTTCATTTTGACTCCCTCAACGATCGCCTGAGTATAATATCATGTCCTCCAACCACAAAACCGGGTATATCGACCCCTCCAACTATCAAAACCGATGGAAACTATGTCTCTGGGTGGTTTAGGAAGCGATTTTGGCTCACGTGGCGCCTACGTGGCGTTGTTGACTTGGTCTCTATCCCACGTGACATCGACATGGCGCTTTTGTGGCATTATAATAAAACAAAAGGCAAAAAAGTACGTGGGACCCATCTGTCATTCACAGAAAATATTGTGGGGGTCATTGGCATGTGGGTCATACATGTCCTCATCTTCCTCCTCTCATCCCTTCTCTCTCCTTACCATCGCGTGTCACCCCGCACCGGGATGACGCTCCTCATTGTCACCTTCGAATGGCCACGACGGGGTCGACATCGTCGGCGCCGAGCTGTCTCCTCTGTTGGCGGAGTCACCCAACGACAGCTTGAGGACAAGAGAGAAGGAAACGGTGAGGCCGGAGCCAAGTACGAAGGCGAGGAAAAAGTGGCAGGGAGAGGCAGTTGGACCCGCAGGAGACGTGGAGGGAGGGGAGTGTCGGTGCGGCGGTGGCGAGCGAAGGATGGAGGTCAGTGGGGTTGCCAGTGGTGAGGGACGGAGGTCCTGTTGTATCGTCTACTTGAAATCTCCTGCACATCCTCTATCGCCGCTTAGGCCCTCGCTCACCCTCCACGGTATAAAAGGGACCCCTGGGGAGGGGTGAAAGGCATCCAATTCAATCGCCAACACACCCACCATATATTACGAAGCCGGAGTACGTGGAGCCAACTCGTCGGGAGATCTCGTCAAATCCCTCGACTACGATCTCACCGGTATCATCTGATTCGACTACTCTCTTTGTAATCTATTCTCATCATCATAAATCCCATATAACCTGGACTAGGGCTATTACCTGATAAGGGGCCTGAACTAGTATAATCCTTATCTTTTGTTTGCTTGATGTCGGACTACGCCCTTCAACCGAAAAACTAGATGCAATGGGTCCTTCAACTGTCAAAACCAGTGCAGATGAGGTCTCTCGGCAGTTTTGACGTCGGTTTTCGCTGACGTGGCGCATATGTCGCTATTTTGACTCGTCTTCGCATCATGTGCCATTAATGTGGCGCTTACGTGGCAATTCATCCAGAAAAATAATAAACTTCATGGGACCCACATGTTAGTTTACACATAAATTAATAAAAAAATGGTGGGGCCCACGTGGGCCCACATGTCATCTAAAAAAATAAAGATGGTACGACCCACGTAGACCCCACATGTCATTCTCATCCTCCTCTTCTTCCTCCTCTCTCTCCCCAACTCCCTGTATTCATTTTTCTCCCTTCTCCTCTGTCCTCTCCACCGAGCGAGGAGGGAGGCGGCGCGCGGCGGCCGGGCGAGGCGGGGCAGAGTGGAGCGGCGGCGGTAGGCCGCGTGCGGCGGAGGTGGCCGGAGGAGGAGGTCGCCGGCCACATGTGAGCAGACACAGAATGAGGAGTGAATGAGAGAACAGCGGGACTTGGGGAATCGGGTCGACGGGAGATGCCGATGGAGGGCATCGGCGCCGGCGCAGCAAGACGGACGACGAGAGGCGGCGTAGGGAGCTCGTCCCTCGCATCCCGGTGAGGGCGCCGGGCCAGCGGAGGTGGAGACGAGCTCGGTACCCCTCGGCTGCGTCGTGGCGGGCGGCGGAGTCGAGGAGGTGGTCGGCGGCGAGCGCAGGTCGACGGTCGGCCGGTGGAGGGTGCGGAGGAGTCGAGGGCGCCATGGCCGGCGGCAGAACCACGAGACGATGGCGGAGGTTGGCTAGCGGCTTGCTCCAGGTGCCGTCGGGGCTCGGCGAGCAAGACCGTCGGCGTGAAGACGATGAACGGGAGCTCGTGCCCCCGGCCACCACGCGTCGCCTGCAAACTCACCATGCCTCCTCCTCTCGGAAATTTCGGATCCGTGCTATGGCCGGGGACGGCGAGCGCGGTGCGGTGATGCCGTACTTCGTGCCCGTATCAAGACTCCTCGCGCCGCAGTGCCCCCAGCGGAAGAAGCTCGCGGTGGCGAGAAGGGCGGATCGTGATGTATTCTCTGCGATAGACCTGTAGAGTTGGGGAGAGAGGAGGAAGAAGAGCTGGCATGTGGGCCCATCATTTTTTATTGAGCTGGCATGTGGGCCCATCATTTTTTATTTATTTATGTGAAACTGAGTTGGGGAGAGAGAGGAGGAAGATGTGGGCCCATCATTTTTTATTTATTTATGTCCCGCTTCTCCCAGGCCGGGCACGCTTACATCTGGCAGCTTTCACACCCAGGAAGAATTTCCCGGTCGGCCACCCATCCTAAATTGCTCCAGGCCAAGCACGCTTAACCTGGAGTTCTTTAGAAATCGGCTTCCGGAAAAGAAGTTGCAACTTGTTGATATGAGTATTCTATTAATCCTATTAAGCCCTGGGCCGGGATGTCACAATGCTCACCCCCTTAAGACACCGACGTCCTCGTCGGTCAACCCCAGGCCAGGAACGTCCCCTCTTAGCCACGTCCGTGTGTCAGTGCCAGTGCATGTGCCATGCTGTGTGACCACTCCGGGTCCACACCAGCCATGCGCACGTCGGTCAACCCCAGGCCAGGAACGTCCCCTCTTGGCCACGTCCGTGTGTCCAGTGCCAGCGCATGTGCCATGCTTTGTGACCACTCCGGGTCCACACCAGCCATGCGCACCATGCCTGCGCAACTGCGACAGGAGTGGGTCCACACCAGCCATGCGCACGTCGGTCAACCCCAGGCCAGGAACGCACGTCCGTGTGTCCAGTGCCAGCGCATGTGCCATGCTGTGTGACCACTCCAGGTCCACACCAGACATGTGCACCATGCCTGCGCAACTGCGACACACGCGCCTGTGAAACCGCGAGAGTCGGCTCTGATACCACTTTGTAACGTCCCGCCTCTCCCAGGCCGGGCACGCTTACATCTGGCAGCTTTCACAGGTCATAGACTGCCCTCACAGACCAACACAAGTCTTTTCTGCACACTTTGTCACTCTTGCGCACCCAGGAATAATTTCCCGGTCTGCCACCCATCCCAAATTGTTCCAGACCAAGCACGCTTAACCTGGAATTCTTTGGAAATCGGCTTCCGGAAAAGAAGTTGCAACTTGTTGATATGAGTATTCTATTAATCCTATTAAGCTCTGGGCCGGGATGTCACATGTGTGTCCCATGAAGTTTATTATTTTGAATTGCAACGTAAGCGCCACGTCATGTGAAGACCAAGTCAAAATAGCCACCCAGGCACCACGTCAGCGAAAACTGCCATCAAAACCTCCGAAGGACCTCATCGGCATTGGTTTTGACAGTTGAGGGACGCGTTGTATCTGGTTTTCTGGTTGAAGGACAAATATCGGATTCGTTGACAAGTTAAGGGACCTCGAATGAACTTATTCCACTCCTCATTGATTCCTCAGCCCAGTAGTTGTAATGGTTGAGCCCAATTGATATTATTTTACTGGGTTTAGAGGCCCAACCATCCATAAGTCTACCTCTCGACGGCTTCCGATTAATTGTTCATTTATGTTCCATCAATTCTCCTCTATTTATGTGTGCTTCTCCTGCATATATGTTAGTAGCATAGGACATAGTGGAAGTATATATTTTATTTGAAAATTATGCATTGCAAGCATAGCTAGTCTTCATTAAATGGACAATATTAACGGTCGAAATTGGTATGACCGTGCCATCGGCGGATGGCCTTGAAGAAGAAGACCACCTTGCTAGCGTAGATGGCCGCGGTGACGCACATGAGCGCGACAGAAAGCGCACCAGAGCACCTGGTTCACCTTGGTAGTGATGTGAAGGAATCTCATCGGCGTTGACGTCGCCACTGTCTTCCACAGGATCTCCTGGCTGCTCATGCCGAGGCAGATACCGAACGCCGACACCGGGAACAGAGCAGGAATGGCCACGTTTTGTCCGACAGAAGCACCAGCTCCTCCGATGACTGATGCGACACAACACACACCATGAGCTCTCTCCAGTGTTCCAGCAAATCAAAGCACATAGATCGATGTGTAGTTCCGGAAGAATTAGCTCAAGAAACTTACCCGGAGTTTGTCCAGTTTAGGGCCCTCCAGTGCGGCGAAGAAGCGATCAACCTGAGGCATGGACTTGATGTGGTGGCTGCGGATGGCATCGCCGTCGCAACCGTCCTCCTCCTCCTCAGGGACCTCCGTCCCCGGCGCTAGCCAGATGGGTGAGTTGCCGCTCAAGCTTCCCGGACCACGTCTTGAACGAGTCGTAGCGCCTATCCCGAGACAGAGATGAATTCATGTGCTTTGAAACTTGAATAAAGCTTATACCTTAGTCCAGCAGCAGCACTCCTCTCATCCTCTGGCTCAACTCCAAGCCAATTTCATGGTTTAATTTTGGGTTCCCGTCGGCTCTAATTGCCTAATAGCATGGATTTTTTTTTAAAAAAAATGTAATACAGATAATTGTTCATTCTATTGTGCTAATTTTATACTGCTCCACAAAATAAAATTCAGAAGTAAAATTGTACATGACCACCAAAAACACTATGGATATCATCAATCAGTAACTCCCCTAATCTCACCATTTTTCTCATGATTTTTTTTTCTATCTGACTGTCTTACACG